ATTGATTTCTTCATTCCTAAAATGCCGAGCCAAACGGTTTCCCTACCACCTGCCCATTTTATCGTCCGGGAACCCCCCCAAAAAAAACACACACACACAAAAACAGAAGACAAAAAAACCGAGATAGGTTGTCATTTGGTGGCGCGAAATGGCTTTTCCCCGGCCAAAACCAAAAAAATGGTCCTACAGCCAGGGAATTGCTCCACTTCAGGGGAACTGATTGATGGGCAGGGTTCCCTCACAAACCCAGAACCCAACCCGGTCCTTGGCGCCCATCTTCGCCACCACGAAGGGGTCCGAGGCGTCGGAGGGCAGAATCCCCAGGTCCGTGTTCCGCAGGTCCCAGGCCCGCAGCACCCGCAGCAGCACCTTGCCCCCGGCCAGGCTGCCCTGGCCGAAATGGCACTCCAAAACGCCCCGTGGCGCTGCGCACGCGTTGACAATACACATGCATATACATACACAAACATACGTGTATACACATACGTGTATACATATACATGTATACATATATATATATATGTATATATACCTGCTGCCCCCAAAACTGGTGAAGTTCATCGTTTTTCACAAACCGTTCGCATGTTGTGCATTTTACGTAAACTAGACCACGGTTGGCCCGAAAGCAGAACATCGCAAGCGAGGTCGGCCCAACGCTGCAGGATGCGTTCTTTTTCCCTACACGAAGCATTCGTGAAGCAAGCGCGAGACAGCACCAGGCAAGGGTGCAAGTTGGTCTGCGCAAGTTGCTCTACGCAAGTTGCACTGTGCAAGTTGCTCTGCGCAAGTTGCTCCGCGCAAGTTGCTCCGGCAAGTTGGTCCCTGCAAGTGGCTCCCTGCAAGTTGCTCTGTGCAAATTGCGCTCCCTGCAAGTTGCTCTGTGCAAGCTGCTCTGTGCAAGTTGCTCTGTGCAAGTTGCTCTGCGTAAGTTGCTCTGCGCAAGTTGCTCTAGGCAAGGCGCTCTCCGCAAACTGGTCGGTGCAAGTTGGTCTGCGCAAGTTGCTCTGTGCAACTTGCTCTGCGCAAGTTGCTCTGCGCAAGTTGCTTTAAAATGCAAGTTGCATCTTGCGACGCCCGCCCGCGGACCAGGGAGGAATCGAACCCGCGACCCGCCGGTTCCGGGAGCAGGCGCGCGAACCACGAGACAACTCCCGAAGACCAGTTCGAACAACAAAAGTCGCAAAAACCTCGAGTTTTTGCACCTCCACCAGAGGGTTGCGCACGAGAAATCGCAAAAAAACCATGGGTTTCCCTCGACCACGCCGATCCCCAGAGGGTCGCGCGAGCACCGCAGAAATCGCAAAAAAAAAGCACCGCAGAAATCGCAAAAAACCATGGTTTTTGCACCTCGACCACGCCGATCCCCGCAGAGGGTCGCGCGAGCAGGTTAGAAATCGCAAAAAAAACCATGGGTTTTTGCACCTCGACCACGCCGATCCCCGCAGAGGGTCGCGAGCATTTAGAAATCGCAAAAAACCATGGGTTTTTGCACCTCGACCACGCCGATCCCCGCAGAGGGTCGCGCGGGCACCGCAGAAATCGCAAAAAACCTCGAGTTTTTGCACCTCGACCACGCCGATCCCCGCAGAGGGTCGCGCGAGCAGTTAGAAATCGCAAAAAAACCATGGGTTTTTGCACCTCGACCACGCCGATCCCCGCAGAGGGTCGCGCGAGCACCGCAGAAATCGCAAAAAACCATGAGTTTTTGCACCTCGACCACGCCGATCCCCGCAGAGGGTCGATTTTCGTGTAGTGTCGTCAGCACTACCCCGCCGCCCTAAGAAGAGATTTTAACTCCTCGCAAGTCAATTGCACTTGACTCCTTGCACTTGCAACTTGCACTTGACTCCTTGCTTGTTTCAAGGAGTCATTGCAAGGAGTCATTGCAAGGAGTCATTGCAAAGAGTCATTGCAAGGAGTCATTGCAAGCAGTCATTGCAAGGAGTCATTGCAAGGAGTCATTGCAAGGAGTCATCATTTGCAAGTTTGCAAGGAGCCAAGTTGCATGGAAAAGTCAAGTCGCAAGTGCACGGAGTTAAGTGCAAGTTGCAAGTGCAAGGACCGTGTGCAAGTGATCAAGTACAGAAGTGCAAGTGCGTAGAGTCAAAGTGGAATTGCAAGTGCAGAAGTGGTAGTTGCAACCAAGGCAATGATCAGAATGCAATGACTCCTTGCAATGACTCCTTGCCATGACTCCTTGCAATGACTCCTTGCACTGACTCCTTGCAATGACTCCTTGCAATGACTCCTTGCAATGACTCTTTGCAATGACTCCTTGCAATGACTCCTTGCAATGACTCCTTGCAATGACTCCTTGCAATGACTCCTTGCAATGACTCCTTGCAATGACTCCTTGCAATGACTCCTTGCAATGACTTTCATGATGATGATTCCTTGCAATGACACCTTGTAATGACTCTCATGAGAACAACTCAAGTGAACCCAGCGGAAGAACCCTTCGCCATGCTTTCGGGAATGCAAAAATGTGTGTTGTGAAATCACTTGGCGTTCTGAAAGATATGGTGCTTAAATGTTCGAGAAAAACACCGTTTCCCCAAGTCGTGCTGGGAAAAGAACATGTTACGGGCCTCAGGTACATGTACATGTGCACATATGAATATATATGTATATATAATATGTATATATAATATGTATATATAATATGTATATATAATATGTATATATAATATGTATATATAATATGTTTATTGGTGTGCTTGTATGTTTGTCGGCGGATAGATCTGGATATATGGCATATGTACATACATACAGTATATATATATATAGATATGTGTGTTTACATGAACACGTGCATTTGCTTGCGCGCGCCGTAAATGTGGAGAGTACGCCTCTCTTTCCACGGGTTGGATGGCGTAGGGCCGTTGAAATCGAGGTTTGCCAGGACTGAGGAAATGCTGCGGGCGCTCGGTTGCGGCAAACAGAATGCCGCAGGTGATCAAGCACTGAGCTCCTCTGAAAAGTTGCAAGGGAACTGAGGGCAGAAGTTTGGATCCTGGGAGCCGACAGAAGCTGCCAAGTACTTCGCTCAAACTTGTCATATTGTCGTTGGGGCGACCCTGCCTGCAGAGAAGCCGCCGGATGCATGGACGTCGGGACGAAGGTAGGGATGTCCCCAGTTGGACGGTCCGAGTAGCGATCCGAGTATCGGTCCGAAGGATCCGGGCGGTCATAGCGGTCCTTGTGCTGTTTGCCCTTCTCTTGTGGGGAAGGTATCTGCAGGAGATCTTGCTGGCGCATCCGGGACATGTCAAGCTCGTCAGGCAAATCTTTGGCCTTCTTCTTTTTCTTCTCTTTCTTATCGCTATACCTCAGTTGGGCGGCCAAGTGGGTGCACGGGGGATCCTCTTCTTCAGCTGGTCCGTTTTTTGCTGGGCACCAGGAGGAAAAAAAGAAGTCTTCGCGGAAAAGGACGTGCCGCCTGGCCACACCTCTGGCGACATGTCCGGATATCCGGAGCCGAAGCCCAGAGAGTCCCCATCCATCCGCGACCCCCGCGACACGTGCGACGCGTTGGACTGCGGGCTGCGCCGCGGCGCGCTCTGTGGCGACGCCATGAGCTCAGCCAAGGCGTGCGGGCTCCTCGGCCGTTCGGGGGTCAATCCCTCCAGTTGACGCTCAGCCGGCAATGAAGCAGAACATGGACTAAGAATACAGTGGATGGACGAAATCCTGCACCACCTGAGAAACCTGGGAATCATGACTTTCTTGTACATACCAACCAACCATGGCTTCCTATGGTTTCAATATGGTGCAGGATTTGGTCCATCCACAGTATGTACATTAAAATGATGAAACACAATTGCCAACAAACATCAATTTCCAAACCGATATAATATTGGAATGGAAGTATTGAATGATAAACATAATATTTTATATTAAACAAAAAACACATGATAACAATAATACTTATAGTACACCATTAACGATAACAATAAAATTAGCAAACATAAGTCATCAAGTATTGTTCTGAATGATCACCCCCTCCATTGAACAACAGGCAATCAGCTGAACAATGTGCATTCGTTTGGAAGAACAGTGGAATAGCTTTTCTGATGCAATTGTATCTGTATCTTTCGCTCCATACAGTTCTGATGTCAAAGAAAGAGTTCTCTGTTACAAGTGCATTTTGGATACTAACCTCATGAGGAAAAATAAACATATTGGTGAGTGGCTTGCCTTCTAGAGCCACTATCAGTAAACTAATACGCTTCCAGTACTCTCACACTTGGCCGAACATCCAAGCTTTTCGCTCTTGCCAACCATGGCTGGTTCCCATTGCCCATACTTGCCGGCTACCGGAGATTGCAATTTTGAGCAAATCGCTCTGGCCCGCAAAGAAAACTAAGAGCAACGACACCTCAAAGACTCCCCCCACTAAAACATGACAGTTAAGCATTATTTAGAGCTTGTTTACCCCTATCTTGCCCTTGATGTTTGTCTTATCCTTAAGTGGCGTGTTCCAGGGTCTGGTGGCACAACCTTTGAAAACCGCATCGGCCCAAAACAGAACATCTAAGTCAGGTATTGGCTCATAGTGCCCTGCGGCGGCAAGTCCCCGGAGCCGAAGTTCTGAGTGCCCTGGGGCGGGTACATGCCAGATCCGCCAGATCCACCTCCGGCCGTGGGAGGCAAGAAAGCGCTCTGGCCGTAGGGAGAGTGTCCATAGGGTGAGTGTGGGTCCACTGCGTTGTCCAAGCTGCCCATTGGCGGAAGCATCGGACGATCTGCGTCGCAGGCCGCACATTTCGCGGCACTGGGGGGGTTGAGGAGCGTGCAGTCCTCGCACTGCCAGTCCTCAGACCCTGGCATCTCTGAATTCTCAGCTGGACATCCTCTCGTGGGCTCAGCTGCTAAACCGGCTTGAGATGAAACATGCCCAACAGCAAGACACACATGCGACAAAGTGCGCTGCTGGACCCCAGCCCACAGTCTCCCGAGCTTCTCCCAAGCTTCCCCCAAGCTTCTCGCAGCCCCCCCACCTGCTTCCGAATTCCGCGTGGCTGAAAGCCTGCAGTCGGCGGCCTGGAGCTTGCAACAAGCTGCATCTTGATTCGACTTAAAATCGACTTGGATGCAAAACCAGCTCTGGCCCCTTGGCGCAACGAAAGTCCAACGAATGACTCGCAGAGGTGCAGGGAGCAACGCGGAGCGCCTCCATGGGGCGCTCGGTGTGCTCGCGCGCAGGCCAAGCGCCATGGCTGCCAGCTGCCAGAGCCCGGCAGTGAGACACCCCAAGATCCCACCCCTTCAAAGGAAGGCGCAACCGACCAGGCCATGAAGGAAGGCTCGCCGGTCATGATGAAAACAGCGGCGTTTGCCCGTTTGCCATGTTCGCCGCTTGCCTTGGTGGCGTACAGCGGCAAGCCGCAAGCCTCCCCAATGTGCAACTCACGGAGCCCCGCTGGCTTTTCCTCGCAAGCCCTGAAGTGGGAAGCAAGGCTGCGGATTTTTCGCAGAACCAAGCAGGCCACATAAAGCCATGATCAAACCTTCTCGAAAAAGGATGGCAATAGACATGATCCACATACTGCTCCACCCCCTCCCACAAAAGAATAATACAGCTCCCAGCGCCAACCACCAAACAAGAAAAGTCCGACCAATGGCTCAAAATGGCTCCTCTTGGCCGAATTGTCCAATCCACGCAGCTTGGGCGGGATTTCGTTACCACTCAAAGAGGTCTTGCTTTAGGTCCGTGACGTGCTGGAACTCCGCGTTAGCGTCCGGCACGATGTCCCCCGCCATACCCTGGAAATCCGCCGCCCGGGGTCGGGGGCAGTCTCGGGGGAAGACCTGGCGGCCGCGACGTTTTGCACCCAGCCAACTAGTAACTAGGGTACTTTGGATGGTTGCGAAATCCATTCTCGCACCACATTGAAACCATGAGAAACCGGTGTTCGTTCACATTCACAAAAACAAAGCAAAAGAAAAAAAGAAAAGAAACTCATTCCAGGGTTTGTCAGGCGGTGCAGGATTTCGAAAATTACCCAGAGCTGAGCGGCTCCCATTCATAGGGGACACTGCTCTATTAGTCCACCAGTGGTTCGTTACTCAAACGTGAAGAACAGCGGCATGGTTTAAGCGACCTCCATGCAGCTTCCCCTTCTGCAAACAGAGTCCATGCTTGTCAAACTAATTTTGTCTGACCCTGGGCCTTGTGAAGCCAGTCGGCAAAGGCACGGCCGTGAATCAGGATCTGACCCCCATCCTGCAAAAGGGCAGAGTGTCATGAGGCGCTTGGTACAGTAGCCTTATGGTTTCCTTCAGTTGTCCCATGGCGTTGTTTCGCTCAGTTTTGGGCTCGCCTCTGGTCCAGAAATGGTGGGGCATCGCCCAAGTCGTCGGAATGACCGCAGGTTCGGAGAAACTAGTGCTCATGTTCCTGCAAGTCCCACTGCTACATACTGCTGCTCTGCGCAAGCTGTCCTTGGATAGCTCTTGCAGCTGCTGCTGCATGGGTGCGGGGACTTCGGCGCCCAGCCGCTCTTGCACGACACTGCTGATGGCGCTAAGGTGGTCTGTTGCCGACATCACCGCACGCTCCAGGTGACCTTTATGCACCTCGCAAGTGCTGGGGCAGCACAAGTCATAGAAGCTCGTGGTGCCGTCACAGTTGGAAGGGCCCAGCATGTAGTTTGGCATCAGCACATACCTGAGCTGAAAAAAGCAATGCTGCCAGTGCTGCATGTCTATGTTTATATAATAGACTGTGTGTGCGCGTGTCTGTGCATGTGCAGGGCGGAAAACACTGAGCACCACAAGCAAATCAGGAGGCCGAACATGCAATGCCTCACCCATGTGGGCCAGCTTTTTTAAAGAACGATGGTTGAAAAGAATGGGGAATCAACCCCTAGGAGTCGTTCAAGTCTTTCCAGGCACTCAAAGGGAAGCTGGTCTTTGCGGCGCGGGTGCGGCTCACTTCCATCCACTGCCCCCAGCTCTCGCAGATAGTCCATGGATTCCCGGAACAAGTCCCCTGGCTGCCGCCGTGGGGGTGAGGCCCACTGCCCCAGGTGCCTATCCCCGGAGGGAACTGGAACCCTGTGGTAGTTGAGGTCGTTGTTGGTCCCTGGATCTATTCCGGAGAGAGTCCAATATGCCAGTAACGGATGATTGGAGGATGGATTGTCCCTGGTGGATTGTCTGGTGGATAATCCTGTAAGCGGCCTGCAATGGCTCTTTTGTCTTCACGCTCGGATGGTCGTGATTCTGCAAAAGGGGCCCTTGAGCCAAATGTTGCGGGAGATCAATGGTCTGAAAAACAGAACACAAAACAGACACAAATTTCTTTTGATCTCCAGCGCAAAGTATGACATACTATTGATCTCTCACTCACGGTATAGTCTTGTAGACGATGAGGATCAATCATCTGGATTGTTCGTGGTGCTGAACGTATCTTCATGGTCAGTCGGATCGACGATACCATCGGCGGCTGCTGTCGGACTGACTGCCATGGTCCCCATAATCATTCCAGGTCGAAGTGCTATAGTCCTTCCACTGCTTCTGATGTCCCCACTGCTTGTTGTAGTCCTTGTACTCCTGCGTGATCCAGGATGATTGCTTCTTCTTGATGTAATCCTGGTATCTCTCAGAGCTGCGTTTACTGGTTGCAGATTTGCTGCGGATGTAAACCATGAGAGGACTGTGGGAGTCGGATTCCTGCGAGCCATTCATGAACATTTCATTGTTCACGTGCTTGTAGCGCTCTGCGGATGAGACCTGGTAATCGAATATGGCCTTGGTTGGATGGTTCCGCATGAATTCCAGTTGTTCATCATCCATACCGTTCATCTCGTCCTTCCGGAAATCCTGCTGGATGTTCGTTTTGCCCCATCCAAATACCATAGTCATCATCACATCTGGGAATGTTCGATCAAATCCTGATCCGCATTTCATGTACAGGTGATGACGGACAATGGATTTCAGGGTGCACGAAGTCTCCATTGCATACCCCATTCTGTCCACGAGTGGCAAATTCTTCGTTGCGTTCCACAGTCTCTGATATGTCCTCATGAGGATGTTCACGAGACCGTTGGTCGGATTGTAGACGTGCTGGAGTTTGCTGTAGGTGTTCGCTGATTTGTTGGCGTCTCCGGTGATCGCGTCGCATCGGTACTTTCATTCTGAAGATCTTCCTTTGCTGCTCCATGGCTAAGTGAAGGATGGATGTGGAAGACTCCAATGGTTGCGAATGGTAGATCTGCCACCGTTCTGTGGCGGTCGCCATACTCGTGGAATGACTCGTCGGATGATTTCGGGATCACGCCACGAAATTCATCACTCTGCTCGATGTGGAGAACGACGATCTCCTTGTCTCGGCCATGTCCTTGAACAATGGTGCGCGCTGGCAATCTCGATCCAATGTACTTCTTGGGTTCAGTAAACATGGATGTTCCTGTGGTTGCCAAGCAATCCGAGGTCGGAATTTCGTATTCGGGATCAGTGCAATCTCCTTTAGTTCCGAAGAAACATCTGAACATTCCAAATGTGGTTCCCCAATTCTGGCTCCTGGTGGAAATGTGTCTTGCCAGAAGTTCCACTCGTGCAGAGGGTCCGCCGCGGACAAAGCATGCGATCGGTTTGGATGACCATTGCTTGATCACGATGCCCGTGTAACCGTATCGGATGAACGTCTTGATGAGCTCCCTGGATTTCTCATCATTCGGACTGAAGAATGCGTCTGCTTCATTCAGGCATAAGATGTGTGCACTGTTCTGCATCATCATCTTGACGATCGGTCGATCCTTCACCGGCATGTTGTACACCTCCCTGTTGTCCAGCTTTGGATTTCTTGTGAGGTTTCCATGGTTCAGGGTAAGCATGTTGATCGCTATGGACGAGGTGAACTCATGCATGTTGAGATAGTCCACGGGAGGACGGTCAGTCGGCTGCATCAGCGATCCCAGGATATCGGCATAGGCTCGGATGATTTTCGGGTCATCATGTGACCTGAGCTTTTTCAATCCAAGCGGAAGCTTGATCGGATATCCGGATCCTGGTTGAGCTTGCTTGTACTCGTCAACGGTGGGACATTCTCCTCGATGAGGGAAGTAGAATTCTTCTTCACCGAGATTGACATCAGGATCGACATGTGCCAATGAGGCTCTCTCGCACTCTGTCAAGTTGGGATGAGCTCTTCTTGGATCTTTGTTGAACTGGTTCATGAAGCGGGTTCTCCCTGGTCCCCGCGAGCTCTTCCTCTGCGTCCTTTTTGTTCATATCTGTTTCGAGATAGATTTCCTTGAGTTCTTGGATGAACTCATCTAGGTTCTCTGAATTGTGATATTCCACGATGACCTTCGGCTTGACGGATCTTTCCCCGGAGGGTTCCATCATTTCTCCTTCAGTGGAGTCCTGATCGGTGGAATGCCGTCTCTTCTTGGTCTCTGAGGAAGCATCTTTTTCCTTTTTGTGCTTGGTGCAATTCACATAACTGAAGAAGGCATCGGCGAATTCGCGGATCTTGGTGTCGTACATCTCGTAATCTTCATGATCGAGATGTTTCTTCATGATCCACTTGTTGCTCGCCATGAGGCTGCCATCTGGTTCAAATGCTGCAACAATGTTTCTTGCCTCGATGGTTTTGTCTGTCAACGCTGTTCTCTCTTCGGAGAGGCGGATGCCATAGTCTTGGTCCTTGAGAAATGCAAGGAGCAACAGTGCATCTCTTCCTGCTGGCACATGGGTCAATGCGGCTTCTGACTCATCGTCTTCGAGGATGACGTCATCGACGCATGCCATGTGAACGTGCATTCTCCCCGAAGGGTTTGACTGGGACTTCCCAGATTTGAGCCCGTGCTCCATGATGCTGTAGAGCTGATTTCCATAGGTTGCATGGAACATGAATGTGATGGGCTTCTTCGAGAACGGCCTGATCTTTCTCTCTTCTTCCATTTATGGTGGCGCCGGCCTTCGCATTCTGTACTTGGGCTGAGCTGTGCCTTCATCTCCATGAGGCGCCTCGGATCTTGACGGATGCGGACTTGGCGGAACGGATTCCGTTGGGAGATCATAGTCCGGTTCGTCGTGATGAGGCTCTTTCTGCTCAGAGTACAGGGGTCGTCCAAAGGATTGGATATCGACTTGTCGTGTGTGTCCGTGCATCTCACATAGAACTCCATCTCTGAATCAACATAGAATTCCTTGCCATCGCGTGCCTTGCGCTCCTTATATGTCCCGTCCACGGATGGAAATACGAACGCGATTTCGAAACGTGATTTTCCATAGCTCGGGAACATAGCCATCAAGAGAAGTCCTGGCTTATTTCCAATGCAGTTCCTGGTATGTGTGATGCAGGTCAATGCGTCATAGAGCTCGACGGATCCATCAGGACCCATTTCCACTTGTCGTTTGCATTCCTTATGGATTCCATGTCTTGGACCATGTCGAAGACATCCGGAAAACGATCTGCTCATTCTCTCAATTCGCCAGAGGATGAGATCTGTGATCTGTTTCGCCTTGGATGGATCCATGCGGAAGTATTTGCAAACCTGTTCGACATTCTGGACGGTCTTCTCGAGATCAATGTTGCCGTTGTGGCATACCATCGGGATGATGTCGGTTCCGTAAACTTTGGATTGAGCATTGGTGTAGCAGCAGATGCTGTAGACCTTCTTGATGAAGTCCATGTATTGCTTCTCTGCATGAGATCCTTCACCTTGGAGTGTTGGATGCCAATAATCGTTGAATCTTGCCTTCAACCAGAATACCTTAACTCCATGTGGTCTCTCGTGCTCAGGAACGAAGTGGAAGTCCGGATTGACATCGAGGATGGTTGAGCATTTCTTGTAGTACTCGTGCACAAAACTCAGGAATTTTGAGTTTCCGAAAGGTCCTGGGTGCACGGATTCCTTCTGGAGGCTGATGTTCGTATCCGATCCATATGTTACAAACCACCGATCGTTGGATGTGAGAACAGGCCGCATCATTGGTCGCCTTCGAAGTGCAGGTCGATCACCAGGATGATTGTCGGATTCCGTCTCTTCATCCAGGTTGTTCTTTGGTGCTGGCTTGACCTTGGAGACAAGCCTCAATGTTGGTGGCGGTGACTTTGGAACAAGTTTCGGATGTGGCATCGCCTTTGACAAAGGCCCGCCTTTGACAAAGGCCTTCCTGCAAAAGGATGCCCTTCTTCATCTGAATCATCGTCATCGGAATCTCGATCATAATCAACCTGCTCCATGTTGACAGTCTCGGGTTGTTGAGAGGCGGATGGATTCTCATCAGCGACTTGCTTCATGGGGCAATCGGATGTCTCATCTTCCTCATCACAAGCAGGGGATTCCTTCAATGGTGATGCCCGCCTCTTGATCATCGGCTTTGGCACAGGTGCCGCATCGCCGGATCGTCCAAACATCAGGTTGAGGATGGGCATGTCAACGAGGTGATCGAGCATACAAGATTGCAAAGGTCGGATGAGTTGTAAACCGAAAGTGGCTGCGGAGGCAGGCACATATTTCTTGAGATTCAAAATGGGTCAAGTGCAAACACGCGCATCACGGAATTGAGGAATTGAAAATACGCAAAACTGAAAAACTCATGCATCAGAATTCGTGGACATGCGGATCATGCCCAGGTTCCCCAATAAGCAAACATGGATTCTGCTATACCGACTCCTGCAAAGGCAATGATGTCCGGTCCGTGCTTCGTGTTGTGTGCTAGCCACTCAACCAAGAATGCCTTGTTCTGCAACATGGTACGAAAGGCTGGATGTGCATCTACATTCAAGAGATTGCCGGTGAGGACGGCCTTGATGAGCTCGTCTGCTTTAGCTGAGTGCTTGGTCAGAGAACCTGCCAGACAATCTTCACTTCGTACATGTGCAAGGTCGTGCATCTGTGCACTGTTGCTTTCCTTTCTCAACATCTGGATCAAATGCATTGTTTCTTTCTGTTCCGGTTGATGTGTTGTGGATGCTGTGGTGACAAGATTGTTCGCATCAGTGCGGATGTGTACATCTGCAATTTCGCCCGTTATGTCTGACCAGAGACCGCGAAGAAATAATGCTGAACCGTAACAACGCATTAGTCCGTGC